GAGGTTATATCATGGTATTTAACATCTGTTAGACCAAGTTCTCGTGTAAGCAGGATGTATGGTAACTTACATGAAAAAGTGATTTGGGGGCATTGTAGACAGTTGAGAATAAAGATTCATCGTCATTGGAAGGCCTCCAATAAGTTTGACGCTGCTGAGTTTCGACTAAATTTGAATTCCTACTATCTCTCAATCCTGTGCAAAGCAAGGGAAAATGAAACCAAGTTAGCTTCCATTTCAATCCATGCATGGCTGATGATGGAAACTCTTCCAAATATCTTCCAAGTATGCTGTTCTAGTTATCATCCAATCAAGAGTTGATAAACTATAGCAGTAAGTTCAATGATAACATCTATGGCAAGAAGAGGTAAGCCTTCAGAAGAACAATGTTGCAACTTAGTGTGTTTTTTCCCCTTTACCAGGGTTCGAATCTGTTTTTCTTCTTTTGACACTGCCTGGCGTAGCATGCTTTCTGCATAAACCTCTGGCTTCACTCTGGGGCTTCCTATCAGGGCATCTTCTTTTCAGCGAGTTTTCTAACAGAAAACGTTCAGGATCTGTTTTCAGATCCCTGAAAAGCTCGTCAGCTAGTTCTTGTAAGCGCTGAGCCTGGAAAGCATTATGTTAGCATTCACAAAGAAAACTAAGATAGATAACAATTGATATGCATGTACTCTTGTATCATCATGTCAAATAAATGAGCCCACCTGGAAGTGATATACGGTGGCTGATGAGTTGAAGTGCTTTGCATTTTTGGATACCAGAATCGCATCATGCTGTTAATTCAAAGGAATGAAAAATCAGTTAATACTTCATAAAATGTTCTACAACATAATATCAAAATTTCAATAAATTTTCTGTCCTTCCTCACTTCTCTCATTAACATATCTGCCTGCACATAGTTTCACCACTTACAAATAAAACTTGGTGCAATTTAAACACAAAAGAGATGATAATTTTTTCCTTCTCCTGAATGCAATAACAAGAAGAAGAAAGAATAAGAGAGCAAGGAGGAAAAGTGTTTATATGGGAGTGAACCTCAAATTCTTCCAAGTTGTTGTACATTCCTTCATGTAGTTTTGCCCTCATGGTGCCAAAATCCATTGGCTCTTTGATAATTGAGTAATAGGACCTCACCTTAGAAAGCAAGAAACAGATCATTGTTTTTTAATCAGAAAGGAAGCAGAACATCTGTAACAAAAAAAGATTAGAAACCAGAATATAGAACTAACCTGTTGAGGGTCAACAGGCTGTGCAAATATACCAAATACGTCTCTCCTATGTAAAGCAGAATGATTAGGATAAAAAACCATATATCACGTAAATAATACACGTCCTTAAAATAATTTTCTAGCTAGTAATTCAGACAATGAAATTGATTAACTTATGATTAAAGGAAAAATGAAAAGAAAAACGCACTCAAACCTTTGCAGCGTATCAAGGATGAACTCAAAAATGCGTTTTTGTGGCACTTGCTCATCAGATGACAGATTTTCTGCTTCATCTAATTAATATGAACAATAACTAAGTTACCACATTCAGAAATCTAAATGATTAGGGTGTTAAAATCACTTGACTTCAGTTAACATCTATGTTATATAACAAGAACAGGCTCACCGTTCATGATCGAATTGTCTTCTTGTTCTTGGTCTTCACCATCCTGCATGCAATTCAAAATGAAAAAAAAAAGCATCAAACACTGAAGCTGCAAGTTATGGTAAGAACCCTGAAGCTCAAATCAGCATCCCAAGATAAACTAGAGGTCCAATTTATATATGCACGTGCACACACACATATATACATGTAAGAGCAAGGCAGGGACAGAGGGACCTGTTGAGATGATAGGCCAACATCTTTAAGTCTTTTGCGCTTGCGGCCTCTCTTGGCAGCAGAAGCTGCTGCTCTTGCTGTAACATGAGCCTGATTCTGACCATTCTCTCCAACGACGTTGTCACCGGATTTGGAGAATTCATTGTTCCTCTTCACCTCATTCAATGCCGATATTCGGGCACTCTTCCTTCTCCCTCCAACTACTTCACTTCCCTCCCACATTTTATACACCCCTGTAATATCAACCCCATGTTTATAATTTTCTGCTACTATTACCATATCAGCTTTTGTAGCAAGTTTTACTTTCCATGTTACTGCCATTAAAAATTACTCCATAGAAAAGAAAGAAAGAAAGAACACGAGAAAAATAGATAGCTTACCTGAAGTGAAGTTAGAACTAAAACCACTCTGCTTATAAACGTCTAAATGAGTAGAAATAAAATAAGGACATCATACAGGACTTACTATTGACCATTGTTTTGACCCTTTGTGTGGTGTGGGGGTGGAAAACAAAAGACTCAATTTTGGTAATTCTGCAAATACATTGTAACGGCTGCACCCACATCAGCACCAGCAAATTTACAGCTCATCTCTGATGCCTCTTACTTACTTTGCTAGAATTACCACAAAAAGAAGGCAAGAAAGAAGATTTGCAAGGTGACCATATTTCTATCTTTTCCATCAAGCAAAAATGGGCCAAACCACATTTCCATTTTATGTTAACACTCCATGCAGAAGGGTAATGAGTATGATAAGCCTACATAGACCATATGGTAGGGATCGGTCAAATTCTGTCAAGCCACGAGAGACTTTGAATTGATCTAACACCTTGTGTTTGCGCAAGCATGCCACTATTAGGATTGCAAAATCTCCGTTAGTTCCCCCTTTTTCCGTTTGATGGCAGACGTAACTTACTTACTTTGCTAGAATTACCACAAAAAGAAGGCAAGAAAGAAGATTTGCAAGGTGACCATATTTCTATCTTTTCCATCAAGCAAAAATGGGCCAAACCACATTTCCATTTTATGTTAACACCACATGCAGAAGGGTAATGACTATGATAAGCCTACGTAGACCATATGGTAGGGATCGGTCATATTCTGTCAATTCACAAGAGACTTTGAATTGATCTAACACGTTGTGTTTGCAGAAGCGTGCCACTATTAGGATTGCAAAATCTCCGTTAGTTCCCCCCTTTTCCGTTTGATGGCAGACGTAATTTTTGTATTTTGAGTTCTATTTTTTGGGTGTTCCATGAAAAACAAAAATCACTGTAATTAAAATAAAAGAATGACATGGACAGGAAAGCTTGCCAGAGGGACCTTAGAAACTCGAAAGAAAATTGTTCAAAAACATAGTAAAATTGCAGTTATGGACACAGATCCTATATGGAAGGTAGATTTGAGCAAAGAATAGATGTCTAATAAGCAGATAAAGCAGCACTTCTGGTAGAAGCAAATGAGAGAGTAGAGTAAATTACCAAATGAACACTTCCTCTTGTCAAAAAGGGAAAATTGAAAGCAGCTCAATACCCTACAACTCTTTCAAAACTGGCAAAATCCTCGTCACATCTCCATTTCAAGGATCTTCATCAAGTACTAACATACATTCAAGGCACACTCTCAGAGTCTAGTGATCAAGAGTCTTTCTACAGATAAATTTATAAGCCAGGTACTCTTGTCGGTGACCGGGTTAGGTGCTCAGGTTAGCGTTACATGCAACGAGCATTATGACAACTGTACGGTGATCAAATTCTCCATTTATAAGTGCCAGTAACTTCCTAATTTGTTCAACATGCATTTGTTACGCCAGATTTGGCACGATGCTAATGCATGGCAATGTCATTTTCGATACGGTAGATTTGAGCAAAGAATAGATGTCTAATAAGCAGATAAAGCAGCACTTCTGGTAGAAGCAAATGAGAGAGTAGAGTAAAATACCAAATGAACACTTCCTCTTGTCAAAAAGGGAAAATTGAAAGCAGCTCAATACCCTACAACTCTTTCAAAACTGGCAAAATCCTCATAACATCTCCATTTCAAGGGTCTTCATCAAGTACTAACATACATTCAAGGCACACTCTCAGAGTCAAGGGATCAAGAGTCTTTCCACAGATAAATTTATAAGCCAGGTACTCTTGTCGGTGACCGGGTTAGGTGCTCGGGTTAGCGTTACATGCAACGAGCATTGTGACAACTGTACGGTGATCAAATTCTCCATTTATAAGTGCCAGTAACTTCCCAATTTGTTCAACATGCATTTGTTACGCCAGATTTGGCACGATGCTAATGCATGGCAATGTCGTTTTCGATATGATAAAAGTACATGTAAGCTAAATTACATTCTACTCCATAACCACAATAAAGAACAATAAATACACACAATGCTCGGCACAGTTTGCGCAGAAAGGTAGAAGTTTATAAACATAAATTACCAAAACTCTCTGATTTACAAATTGTGCATGAATAAATGGAACTGAAAGCACAAAACCAATTGCATTGGATACAAATAGTGCATAAGTGATACAATTGAGAAGATGTCCTGCTTGACTAAAACATAGAACAAAAAAGTTTCTTCAATCCTTCCTACATTGATGCATAAAAGGGAAGAATTGCATTCAATCCTATGCAGCAGCAGATAGTTAAGAAGCTGCTTCTGCTATCAGTAAGCTACTTTACACAATTGCTTCCGCTGTTTGTAGGCTGCCCCAGTAACAAAGAGCATGCTTCTCAAAGCTAAGGTGGCTTCTGTACAATTTATCAGAAGGTACAGCCAGTACCAAACTGGCCTACAAGCATCACATTCTTGTTTGAGTAATCAACCAGTACCTACCTCATCACAGAAGCACGTCCTTGGAACTTAAAGACATATGAAAGGGAACTGAGATTAGTCAAGTGAGGATCATACAAGGATCTTATGGCAAAAAACACATGCCATTTATCAATCTTTCAAGCGATCCTATGCAGCAGCAGATAGTTAAGAAGCTGCTTCTGCTATCAGTAAGCTACTTTACACAATTGCTTCCGCTGTTTGTAGGCTGCCCCAGTAACAAAGAGCATGCTTCTCAAAGCTAAGGTGGCTTCTGTACAATTTATCAGAAGGTACAGCCAGTACCAAACTGGCCTACAAGCATCACATTCTTGTTTGAGTAATCAACCAGTACCTACCTCATCACAGAAGCACGTCCTTGGAACTTAAAGACAAATGAAAGGGAACTGAGAATAGTCGAGTGAGGATCATACAAGGATCTTATGGCAAAAAACACATGCCATTTATCAATCTTTCAAGCGCACCTGAGAACATTGCTTACTCCAAAGTGCATTGATAAACCTATAATTCAATATCCAAGGTGGCTAATAGAATACCGGAAGGCAGACAGAAAAGCAACTTCTTAAGCCACTCTTTCTTATTTTTGGAGGGAGAGAGTGATGGAGGAATGGGAACAACATTCACGCCCCCAATTTGACGCTGGAATCAAGTGCATCAATTGTGTTATTTTGCTGTCCCCAGAGCTGTGCATATCTCCCCGCCTTAGACAAGAGAACATCATGGGGCCCCTGCTCAACCACTTTCCCGTTCTCCAGAACTATTATCTGAGAATTGATTTGGCAAGACACACAGAGTAAGATATTGCAACATAATAAAAGGAATAGGAAAAGATAAAGGAATAGTAGGATATGGGTAGAACATCAAAGGCTTTAATAAGGGTTAGTCAATACTACAAGAAATTTAATAACTCAGAGTTCAATAGATGGCAGAAATTGCTCTCTCAATGCATTTGGTATCTACGAATGAAAAGGTATGTATATGGTAGAAGAGAGTTTGTTGATTTCACCAAATAGAAACTCATACAACACTCTTTGTGCATAAACTGAGCCAAAGAATGAATTAGAAAGCAATAGATGTTCAGGTAAAAAACAGAGGTGGTAAGTTGACATAGAAAAACATTAAAAAATGAAGGAGAAGAAACACAGGGGTGGAAGAATGTTACCTCATCGCACTGCATTGCAGTGGTTAGCCTATGGGCAATGAAAATTGAAGTTCGATTAGTTGCCAAGGACTTCAATGCATTTAATATTTCCGCTTCCGTGGTGCTATCTAGTGCACTTGTAGCTTCATCACATAACCTGTGGGTGTCAAATAAAAAATAATCATCATAAAATGCTCAGGATATATTCGATTGCTGTGGCCTACTTTCTCCTAAAAGGTTTAATTCATTAGCAAGTCAAGGATAACTTTGAAATTATCCACAGATACAAATCGCAGACAGCATGAACAAATAGAAAAAAAATGACGGAGGAAAGATGAGAACGGTTACAGAATTGGAGGTGCATTTAATAACTCAGAGTTCAATAGATGGCAGAAATTGCTCTCTCAATGCATTTGGTATCTACGAATGAAAAGGTATGTATATGGTAGAAGAGAGTTTGTTGATTTCACCAAATAGAAACTCATACAACACTCTTTGTGCATAAACTGAGCCAAAGAATGAATTAGAAAGCAATAGATGTTCAGGTCAAAAACAGAGGTGGTAAGTTGACATAGAAAAACATTAAAAAATGAAGGAGAAGAAACACAGAGGTGGAAGAATGTTACCTCATCGCACTGCATTGCAGTGGTTAGCCTATGGGCAATGAAAATTGAAGTTCGATTAGTTGCCAAGGACTTCAATGCATTTAATATTTCCGCTTCCGTGGTGCTATCTAGTGCACTTGTAGCTTCATCACATAACCTGTGGGTGTCAAATAAAAAATAATAATCATAAAATGCTCAGGATATATTCGATTGCTGTGGCCTACTTTCTCCTAAAAGATTTAATTCATTAGCAAGTCAAGGATAACTTTGAAATTATCCACAGATACAAAATCGCAGACAGCATGAACAAATAGAAAAAAAATGACGGAGGAAAGATGAGAACGGTTACAGAATTGGAGGTGCTTTCAAGAATGCACGAGCCAGTGCCACGCGCTGTTTCTCACCACCACTTAACTGCACAGAATTATCATCATACTCTTCAGAATTCAATAGTCCACCGAAGAAAATTGACAAACAGTTGCAATTCCTTTTTTCCCCTTTTTCTTCGGTCAGCATGTTACACGGTTGATCATTACAAATAATTTAAATAGATAATTACAAAAAGCAGGATCAGTTGTCTTACACTTCCAGAATGTGTGTCAAAAAACCTGAAGAGCAATCTGAGAATGGTTGACTTGCCTGCAAACAGATCCCAATTCAATATATTCATGATGATCCAAGAATATTGAATAAAGAACAGATATGCTGCATCATGCAATACTAATAATAATTAATACAAAAAATAAAAACAATTAGATATGCATGGGCATCACTTGCTTATCCTAATAACTTCCAGACTAACATTAAGCAAAAACACCAGAACTGTGGTAGAACCATGTCTCCACAACAGCGCCCAAAAAACATTAATATCTGGTAATTCATGTCAAACAATAAATGAATTTAAAAAGGAATGGAATTTTGAATCAAGGGAAGAAGCCAAGACACAAAGAGGAAATCCTGACAAGCCTTACCACTTCCGCTGGTTCCAACAATAGCCACACTCTTCCCAGCAGGTACAACAAATGATATCCCATCAAGAATCTTTCTTTCTGTCAGATAACTGTACAAATAGAAAACGGATGTAGTGCATCAGCAATGGATTACATAAATTACACAGTAACAATAATATCACATTTGATAAATGTTAATTTAAATTTGCCACATATGGATCACATCTATAGTCCAAAAAAACGTTTTTTTAACATCATGCTAGCTACAGACTACTATAAAAGTACTAGATGATACATTAATGATAGAACAGCCAGAGAGAGGAAGGCCGCCTCAGTAGGGGAGGCAAGCAAAGCCTTCACCTTGGCCCGCCAAATTTAAGTCTTCTTCTTCGGCGAGGTTTTTTTTTTCTTAAAGACCCTAAATAGCAAAAGAAACAAGTCTTCCTCACCCATGCTATTGACACAAAATAGCATTTGATTTCAGAAAATTAAGAACTTTTTATATAAAAAATCAATGGTCTAGGTATGCTCCATTAACACTATAAGGACAGCAAGAGAAGCATCAACCACCTGAAATGTACGTTGTCATATTGAATGCTCCCCCCACTTAATTTCAGATGCTTTGCATCATCTTTGTCACCAATTTCGGCCCTTTCCTACGATAAATAACAATAAATAAAGTAAAAGCAGATAAAGAAAAAGCCAATTCAACAACGTATTACGAAAAACAACTATCTAAATAGCTCGCATGACAAAACTATATCAACCTTAAAAGTTTTATAAATACAAACCAAAATGTAAATAAATTAAGAGTAGAGTGCGTATGTCCTTCTTGTTTCTTCATTAAAGCAGTTCAAAAATAAAAAGATAATAGATTTTGTCCATTACAACAAAAAAGCATAGATTTTGTGATAGTGAAAAAGTGAATAGAATTATCGTGTCTACTATAAAAGTACTAGATGATATATTAATGATAGAACAGCCAGAGAGAGGAAGGCCGCCTCAGAAGGGGAGGCAAGCAAAGCCTTCACCTTGGCCCGCCAAATTTAAGTCTTCTTCTTCAGCGAGGTTTTTTTTCCTTAAAGACCCTAAATAGCAAAAGAAACAAGTCTTCTGACTCTCAGCCTCTCCCATGCTATTGACACAAAATAGCATTTGATTTCAGAAAATTAAGAACTTTTTATATAAAAAATCAATGGTCTAGGTATGCTCCATTAACACTATAAGGACAGCAAGAGAAGCATCAACCACCTGAAATGTATGTTGTCAAATTGAATGCTCCCCCCACTTAATTTCAGATGCTTTGCATCATCTTTGTCACCAATTTCGGCCCTTTCCTACGATAAATAACAATAAATAAAGTAAAAGCAGATAAAGAAAAAGCCAATTCAACAACGTATTACGAAAAACAACTATCTAAATAGCTCGCATGACAAAACTATATCAACCTTAAAAGTTTTATAAATACAAACCAAAATGTAAATAAATTAAGAGTAGAGTGCGTATGTCCTTCTTGTTTCTTCATTAAAGCAGTTCAAAAATAAAAAGATAATAGATTTTGTCCATTACAACAAAAAAGCATAGATTTTGTGATAGTGAAAAAGTGAATAGAATTATCGTGTGGTCCAATATTAGTCCCTTGATTCAAGCCATGTAAATTTGAAAATAAATATAACAAGACACACATCACTGAAAACCAGATTGCAAGAAAACTGTGAAGTTCCTATATTTACCTCCAGTAACTGAAACAGAGATTTCATGTCAACAAGACTCTGTATGGTCTCACGATAAACACTACCAAGGAAATTAAGTGGAAGCGATAGCTGGAATAGAAGCCCATTCACCATGACCTGTATATTGGGTTCAACCATAATTTGTATGACTATCAGTGAATCACTTTGCAAACAGGATTTTAAAAAAAAAAACTTCAAAACATGAGAATCCCAAGGCAAATTACCAAATCACCGACTGTCATATTGCCACTCATAATACCATTTGAACACAGCACCATAGCAGTTGATAGAGCCGTGCTAAATATAATATTTTGGCCGAAGTTCAGAAAAGCAAGACTGCGTTGTGTTTTTAAGGCAGCATCTTCGTACCCTGAAGGATAGAATGACCACAAGCAACAGAAGCACCGTTAAGAAACAATGAAAATAACCTTCTGATGTAAAAACCACAATTATCAATGTTAAACTAACAAAAAAATATTTCAAGGAGAAACAAACAAGTCCAATACCACACGAAGAACTACCACACACAGGACATTCCATAAAGTAAAAAAAAAGTTGGCTTGGTGGAAGGCCACCTGTGGTTACCATGCAAACTCATAAATGCATGAAACAGAAGGGAGAATTAAGGCTGACTGATACCAAAGACACCAACTTTTGAACACTAACTGATGTAGCAGTGTTTCATTTGTTTTCTATCTGGGTCCACCTTGGAACTTAATTATTCACCGCAAATAAGAAGTTGCCACATCAATTGTTGTCTCTAGTATCATTGCATATAAATACATATTTATACAATTGAAAAAAATGTTTTCAATCATGCTATGATAAATAAAAAAAGTAAAATAATTTTAAAAAATAAGAATAAAAAGTTTCAAAATAGCTTGTGCACAAGTCAAATTCAGTTCTTGTTCGGTGAACCAACTAGTCACTCCTCTAGCTGAAGTATAAGACCCCTTTTTTTTTGTGCCCAATGATCATTAATTTTTAAAACAATGAAAAAAACTAAAGTAATTATCACCTATTTCTTTGACCACATATGGCAAGAAAAGCCATTCTAAATTATTAAGCAAAGAACACAATAATTTTTTTTTTAACTTCAAAATAATTGAAGTTAATTCAGAGTCTTGAACAATTTCACTGGAAGACAGAGAGTAAAGCCCCACAATGAACATTTTGTATGATATGAAGGTCTGACCTCTCCTTCCTCTCTCTCAACACACACAAATACATGCTGTATGCATTTGACCCAAATGACCAGAACGTGCATTGACCCGAATGACCCGAACGTGCATTTGACCTGAATGACCTGAACGTGCATTTGGCGTGGATGTTATATGACAGATACATACATATGCACATGTAAAATCATCTGAAACACAACCCAACCTAAATTGGAAATTGGTCTTGACCCAAATGTCCCGGAAATACATGTTTCAGCACTATAGAGTATGCACATGCAAGCACCAAACGTGGCATGATAATTCATGGCTTATAATTTATCAGCAAGATAATAGAAGCTTTTACAAGTTTGTGTATCACGAACTAGTGGGTTTAATTCATATTAGTTTCCAGAACAATGTATTAGTTCAGGATTAACAAACTAGAAACTGTGATAAGACCAAAACAACTTACTCTTTAAGTACTCATCATATTTACTGGCTTCATAAGCTTCGTTATTGAAATATTTTACAGTCTGTATAAATACAACAGCATCAGATGATGAAACGAGAGAAAAATAATTTGAATAATGGAGATGGAAGGCATCAAATTTTGCATAAAGTGAGTAGAAGATATACAAAGTACATCACCTTACCTCGTAATTAATAAGTGAATCAATTGCCCTTGTACTAGCATCATTATCAGCCTTATTCATGGCCTTCCTAAACTTAGTCCTCCACTGTTAAGACAAGGAAATCATTAATTCAAAATTCGCAACACAAAAACTATCAGCAGCTTAATAAACGGGTAAATATATAGCTAAAAAAAATTGAAATGGATCAAAATGATTAACTAGTATGATTCAGACACCTTTATTTTTTTTAACAATTCATTCCTAAGAAACTATAAACAAAGAATTGGCAAGAGACACGATACCTGTGTGACAGTCAATGTAAATGCCACATATGCAGCAACTGATAGTGAAGTGATCCATGCAAAAGGTGCTCCAAATTTGTAAGCCAGTATACCTGAAACCATAGATATCTGGAAAGGCACATGTCAAATCTGTTAAATTTGTTTAGTAACAAGAAACAAAAGCAAGATGGAACCCTCGACCTTGCTTCGCACTACATTACTAAGTCCAGCCAGTGTCTTTACACACATCAAAATAGCTCAACAATAATCTAAGGTACAGATCCATACCTCTAAAATGGTGGGCACAACATTGAACACCATAGACGACAGAATAAAATTTATTGCACGGCTACCACGGTCAATTATCCTATTTAGTGCGCCGGTTTCTCGACTGAAATTACATTAGCCACACCATAGACGACAGAATAAAATTTATTGCACGGCTACCACGGTCAATTATCCTATTTAGTGCGCCGGTTTCTCGACTGAAATTACATTAGCCACATGATAATGCAAAAGTTAGAGTGCAACTAATAGCTCAAAATCAACTATATTGAAAAGGCTTTTATTGTAAACTAATATCTCCCCAAATGACAACAAAATCATGTATTCAAGCATGTTAAGAAGCCACAACATACTGGCCCGTCGTCTGCAACTAATAAATACATTCTAAACAAACATGGAAAGGAATATATATGAATACCTAAGATGATACCGAAGATCAAGGTCATGCAAATGAGAGAAGACCTGCAAAAGTTTAAATTGCATATGTCACAAAGAAGATTTTAGGACATAAGGCATCTTTTTTTCTTAGAGATTAACAAGCATGTTCAATATGAAACCAAGAAGAATTTGCAATATGACTTAGAACATGGTTAAGGTGTTTATGCGGCTTGGATATTCGATAAAAGACATTTTGGGAGTGCCATACCTTCCTAGACACTGATCGGATTGTTCGCAGTGCTACTTTAGAAAACACAGCAGTCCGTAATTCTGCACAATACAATTTTAAAGAACTTTAGAAATGGGCAAGAACCCAATTCCGAATTTCAATACATGAACATGTTATTGAAGCATGAATATCCAAAGGAATGGTATGAGCAAGCAATTACTTCATGCGTAGTACCGTTGAAAGCAGAAGCACCCGTGCGTGCAAGCCCATATCCAATTAAAACCGAAACAGGAGTTGCAAAAAGAGCCAACTGGGTTGAATTGGCGGCAGTGAAAGAAGCAAGTGCGGTAGCATTGCCAGTAGCTGAGCTCAACCAATCCACAGCAAGCTTGAAGAGGAAAGGCACTTGAACATTGAGAACCTTAGCCCCAACCAAGAAGCCCAAGGCCGCAATGACCCTGATACGGAATTCATAGTTATCTTTCATCCACAAGTAACTTGCGAGAGTTCGGAAGATCTTAACGTTCGTAATCTGTTCGACGGAAGTTCCCTTAGAAACTGGAGGAGTTGGATTTCTCAGGTCCGGCGATGTAGAGAACCACGAGCGGCCATCTGGCGGGGCAGGAGCTGATGAGGCATCGGAGAGGAAAGCGTTGACATGGAAAGGGAGTCTTAATGTTGGAAGCACGCTGTTCGAAGTCAAAGTTTTTGGAAGGAGAATTGGGTTTCCATGGAAGGCGGTTCTGGTGCTAAAGGAATTTGCTTTGAAGCTGCGATGGGGTCTAAGTTGGAAGAGAAGCCCGCTGGCTCTGTACCACTTCGATGCGGTAGGACCCAGCATTCTTCTTTCTTCTTCTTCTTCTTCGGCCCAATGAACTAGTTCATACGAAGACTGAAAACCCTAATTCAGCAACTTCAAATTTTGTGGGTTTTATACTGGGAGGGAAGGATGTACGAGGACAGAGGGAAGGGAAAGGGGGCGAAGAGTCGATCTGTGTTAAATATTATTTCATAATTTCAGAACAGAGAGTATAGTACTAGCATTTGCCTTGCTCGCTTGAAGTTAGGTTTGGGAGGGTTCAAGTTTTGGGGTACAAATTCATTATGTTCTATATGTTCAATTTATTTGCCCTCAAATTTCTTGTTCAACACATTTCAATTGCTTTTCAAATAGTGCTTGCCTTAGTTGACCTTATTCAATGAATCAAGGGTATATAGGAATTTGAAAAGCGTAAATAACCCTGAACCCTAAATAAAATACCAATGAAGGTTGGTAAGAGTTGAAGGGGCTCTGATCGCTTAAGCAATTGGTCTCGGGTTTGAGCCCTTGTGGATGCAGAAAACTTACTTGGGAGAGGTCCCTGCATGTGCGCCCGATAGTACCTCAGAGGATTAAGCTTGGGCCATGCCTTGGTTTACCTTGAGAAACCAAAAAAAAAAGCGTCAATAAAATGGATATATGAGATTTATAAAATTATCTGTTTACATTAACTAATTTTCTCTGTGTGTAGCGCATATAAACGATTGTGCTTAGCATTTTTCTTATTCTCTATATACATATTTTACTTTGAAAATGAAAATTTTACTCAACACACACATCATATTTCCAAAATAGATATTAAAAGTTTTCATTTTGTTCTTAAAACTAAGAAACTTTTTAAATAAAAATAAAAAAAGGTATCAAAACAAGGCTATAGTTGTTAAGATGTGTTAAGAACTTTGTTGTTTTCCGCAAATAAAAGCACCATACATTTTAGTTGGAGAAAGAGTTTTCAGATTTCTTATCTTGTTTGTCCACCATACAACTCCCAGCATATTTTGTATTGGCATTGCTTTTTCACAACCTCTATCTAATTTCCCATTTCGTTCCCGCTAATGGCATCATCTCCCACCCTCACTATCTTTCTTTCAAGTTAGAAAGAAACCTGCAACATAAAAGGCAACAAACAGAATGGCTGCTGCAAACTGCTTCAAGCATGGAACAATTCTACCAGTCTCGGCCAATCTCCAGCATAAGCAGCCACCGCCAAGAAACAGCTGCACCATAAACAATGAGCTCAAGGGAAACAGAAACATGATGCTTATGATGGGTTTGAGTGGAAGACATGGTAAAGTATCCAAGCGTGTTGGGATGATAAGGTGCAGTGGGAGAAGTATAGAGGACTTCATAGGAGGAGACTTGGTGAGATTTGATCTCGGCCGTTGGCTTTCGGACGTGGAGGAGCACAAGGCCCTGGCTATCTACTCTCCCCATGAGGGAGGCTACGAGGGCCGCTATCTTAACCGCCTGAGATACCAGGGTTACTATTTCCTGGACCTTAGTGCCCGAGGCCTCGGTGATCCTGAGACCACCCTCACCAAGGTCCATCCCGTTTGCCCGGTGAGTTGAGATATATCTGACATGTTATCGTATTGTCCATCTACACCCAAAATTGTAGAGGAAATTTTCCATTTTGTTGTGTTCTTCTTACTCAAATGTATTGTTGGAAAGTAGCCTCATCTAGGGAAGCAGCCCATATCAAGATGGTACTTTCCACCAGAGGTTGATTACAGGCTTGCTGCCCTGCCTCCAAAGGCCAAAGGCCTTGTGGTCTGGATTATTGAAGCCAAGGTGCTGAAGTAAACTATACACTTAAATTTATTTATTCTTTGAGACCCGTACGATCAAAGAGGAAGCAAAATAGGAATTTAAATCAAACCAATGTTGCCCCATGTACTTTTGTGCACAGGTTCTTTCAAAGGCAGAGCTGCAGTTTCTTGCTCTGCTTCCCACACTCCGGCCCAAGGTCAGGGTCATTGCCGAATGCGGAAACTGGTATTTTCAAATGTCTTTTTCTTTTCCTGGATTTTTAGGTAGCCAGGAAACTTTCAATCCTGTTTCTTCATGCCTACATTTGTATAGCAGAGATCATACTTGCAATAATGTCGGAAAACCAATGTATTTTCAGGAGGAAATTTGTATGGAAGCCACTCAAAGAAATTTCGGGATTAACTGCTAATGAGGGATGAGAACAGTAGCAAAGACACAGCAGATGAGTTCAAGTTACTCTCATCCTGAATTTGAAGACATTTGAGCTTTATTTCACTGTGGAAGCAAATCCATGGAGCAAGAAATACTCTACAGTTTTCGCTATCACCATTGTTTTCCTGATCACATGTCGAAGTACATAATAATTTCATCTAAAAATTGTAATCTATCCACTTTCATGCTACTGACAATTTTGACCATGTAATCAAATCAATTGCATGACATACGACCAATATGTCCAGAACCAAACAAGCATCTGTGTTGCATTTCACTATGGCATGTAAATATGGTAAAGTTTGCTTGATAAATTATATTCAAAAAATTATACAACATCCCTCGTACCAATGCTAAAGATACCCTTTCTTGCTGGAGTTAACCTACATCACAGTACACTGTACATAGATATGAAAAGCTCAACTTCAATCTCCTCTAAGCTATAGTCTCTCATTTTTCCTAAAAGAGGAAATACAGAGGGATGCGGAACTGTACAAGTCAGAATCTAAACTTTCCTCTTCCCACGTCTTCCCATGTCTAAATCTACTAGCCTTGATGATGAAGGAGCAGGTAACTGGGCAGACAGACCAACTGATTCTGGTATGTCAAGATTGGCACTCATGGATGGGCCCATGGTTGCACGATTGATGTCGACCTCATGAAATTGCTGGACTTCAACCTTTATTTTGTCAATCTGCAAGTTACACGTACAAGAAAAATAATCAGTGAGTGCCTCATATCAAAACACTTATCATTGTTTAGGTATGTCAAGCAATTTATTTTATTTTATTATATTTTATCACAATGCTAAAACAAAGAGATGTGTTGCCCTCACTAGTTCAATATGGTGAATGGATGAATGTGCATCTACAAGTCTCTTTTGCAGATCATCCTCCCTTCTCTTCTGAAACTCAAGATTCTCCAATTCATGTCCCCTTTCGCCTAACTCTTTATACAAAGCTACCAGAAACATAGCACATATCAGCAGAATAAATCCAATGGAATGAAGATTCCAGTTAAAATCTACTCAATCGAGTCAGTTAAATGATGAAATCCAACATACTTTACTAACATGCAGAGGGATGACCTAAAATGATACTTGAAATGTAAATTTTAAAAAAAAAATTTGGTGATTCCAACAACAAAATTTGTTCCTAAACTCAGGTAAACATAAATGCAGAATGCGATCATGGGACTGCCATGTTTTATAATATGTACAAGTATCAAGAAGTGAAAAGTTTAAATATTAGAAAACATCCTATAAGTTATAACAGTGCTTGTCCAAAAGAAGCATAGATTTTATCAGTCCCAGTTAGTGCATGTCTCAACCGACAGTGTGGTAGGGCTCTCTGTTCCACTTACAGAGAAACCAGATTGCCAGTTCTAGATACTGAGCAGAACCCAAAAGGAATATATACATACCTGTCATAACAGAGAGCACCCATATCTGTGCTGGGATATCAGAAAGCTTCTTTGCCAATGTTAAGGATGATCTCAAGATCTCTCTGGCCTGTCCGGGGTCATGAAGAGCTAGTGCCAAACTCCCAAGGATTGTCAAATACTGGGAAACAAGCTGAAGGTTCCCCAAATAAGTATGCGTCAATTGCAAACCTTTGGCGAGTCGATTTCTACACCAAACCGAGATATTAGGAAAGAGAGAGAGAGAGAGAGAGAGAGAGAGAGAGAGAGAGAATTCATAATGGAAAATATGCTGGTACTATATCAACTGACATGATCAGGTATAAGTTTATTTACAGGTTCTTCCCAGCATACCTCCAAGACTGAAACAAAATTAATGAAGAAGCAGAGCCTGGATACCTCAGTATCAATCTTATTAGTTTGTGCTCTTGTCATTGTGCAGATGGATGAATATGTAGGGCAAACAAATGTGAAAGTACAATAAGGCAACCAAAATTAATCACTTAACAATTTAAAGGATTTTCAAAGGTCATGTTATAAGGAGAGTTAGTGCACTTTTCATCCATGGCATTTCAAAGAGTAAATTAATTTTCTATGTACAGAGCTTGAGAAAAATTTGATACGTCACTCGCAAATATTATCCATTATTAAAAAGGAAAGAAAATTGAAATGGACTCGTTCTAAATGACTAAGAAAACACAATAGATAAATTTATCTCCATACTGCAGTACAATGCCAAAATTTCTTTGACTTTGAAACAACAATCATAAATATATACTACCAACGCAGCAGATGATAAGGGACTTGAGCATCTACCTTGCTTCCTGTAGATCTTGTTGCTTCATCAATAAAAGACCATAGGCAAAAAGGGCAGTGGTTTTCTCTCTAACTCCAACAAATGAGTCCATCATTCTGTAAACTGGTCCAATCAAGTCAAGTGCCTGCATCCAAACTTCTATTCAGTGATGGGAAATAATCCAATGGAAAAACAAATAAAAGTACGTGTGCAATCAAATACTAAATTACAATCACATATAAACTCAACAGAATTGTAATTACAGGAAACCTTTACCTGTGTAGATGATTCAGAATCCCCAATGCAGATGTAGGAGACAGCTGCATAAATTTGGTAAATAGCTTGCATGGATTTGCTCTCTGTGAGCTGCTTATTAAAAAAAAGTAACACTTAGTTTAGATGCCATGGGAAATTATATCCATATGCCTTCATTTTTATTTTACCCTTTGCTAAACAGAATAAAATCTCATATACAAGGTGGTGTACACAAATTAATTAGCTCATTGCTCCCTCATCATGAACCTTCAATTTTTTTTGGCTCATATAGCATCTCTTCTAAATGGATAATGCAATTCAAGAAAAGTTTACCTTTGCAGCTTCAACATAATGGAAAGCTGCCTCATTATAACAGCCAACAGAATGAGCATACTGCCCCCTGAGCATTTCGATGATGCTCTCACATGTCTGTAAAATTGTTGGGAAGCGCATAAACCAATTTTTCATCTGTACCAATGCCTGCAACACACAAGTATATTGATTTGAGTATACTCATTACATGTAGTCAACTTGAGTTAAAAATAAACTTAAGTATACCTACCATAGGGCATATAAGACTGCCATCTTTAACAGATCTGATATATATATATATATATATATATCATTATACAAGAA